AGTAGAGGTAAATGATATTAGCAGGCCATCATTAACATTAGTTCTACAATCCTAAAACATTGGCACTTACCTTACAATTGTACGATAAGAATGGGAATCTTTTCCATAAACTAAATCTAGATCCGTTTTTATTTCTGACGCGCATTTACCCATTAACCTACGAATTTTGCAATAAGCTCTATGCTCCGCATTCAAATTACAATGCAACTCAGCCATGTTTACTACCTCAATCTTTCCAACGGTATGTTATACATGTATTTTCACATCATGGGTAAATTAAATTGTTGCCACTTATTAGAACATACCCCACGTACAATCATTTACAATACATATTAATGGCATAATGCACATGTAAAAGGTCTATCACTAAGTCACTCTTACCGTTGAAAGAGTATAGTATTTAAACAGTTGAGAATTTTGTCACTTTTACAATTCCTTAATATAGCTGATATTTAAAACATAAAAAATATAACTGTTTTTTTGTGTGTAAAATATCCAAATTGAGCGTGCAAAAGATGCAAACAAAAATCGTCATCTATGCTAAAGTACATCCAACAACAGCTTCTTAAACTAGCCACTTCTTATTATTTAAAATAAATAGTCTTAGACCAACAAACCTGTAACGTTATTTGCCCTTGAAATCGTACTGGGATACATTTCTAAGTCTCTTTCCATTATATTGTATACATGTCTTATACTAGTATATTTTCTGGATTTGTATTTTAATATTTTATACTCATATCTTGCTATACATATAAGTTAATTTTTAATTAAATCTTAACGACTTAATTTTCCATATTAGACAGAATTATTCTGGGTTCGGGTAGCTGTTTACAATATTGAAAATTTATTCTTTCTACAGCATTTGTGTCTCTGAATCCCGTTATTTGACATTTATAGCTTAATATAGGAACAACTAGCATAAAAAGTAATAAAAAGAAATGCTTTACATCAATATAAGTGAATTTATTTAAATAAGACTTGAGTTTGATATCGCCTGGCTGGCAAATGCCTCGTGCGTTACGGTAAATAAAGCACCTGTGGTACATGTAATACCGTAATACGAAAATTTTTAGTAATACCTACAACGTGATCGTTATATGTAAAATTCATATGTCTTCTGTTTGTGCCACCATTTCTAAAAACCATAACCTTTCTTTACCATTTACTGTTAGTTTCAATTTCAGCAATCGAACAAGAAATCCTCACCTTTATGTAAACTCGTTTCCTTTCAGCAAAATTATCAATATCATCAACATTTTGTCATAGGAAGAGTTTAAACATGTATAGCTTTACAAATGCATGTTATATGAATTGTTAATCAATGTCCTTCATATTGATCTATTAACGTCAAATATCTTTTCTCTAACGCACAAACTAAGCAATTCAAATCATATTGTATTACATAACAAAAAATGCATTGGTAAAATCTATCAAGACCACAAAAGTGTTCTTTATTTAAAATGTATAGGTCATGCAAATAAACGTCATAATGTCCGATACATAATTATGTTTCACAGTTCAATATTTTAGAGCGTGACTATATTAACAGCATATAAACTTTAAGACAAGCCGATAGAATACCTGAACCATACGAATTATTGTCACAACAAATTATTAAAAGTAACTGTAGAATTTAGAGGACACGAAAAGCGTAATGCAGAGAAAAAAATTCTTAATTTTTTTTTTTAACATATTTTCAAAATATATACATCCATAGGAAATAATATTGTGCAGAGATTTAAAATAAGTAAGGTACCGTAGGTTTGGAATTTCCACTTAAATATTCGCGAGTCTCAATTTTTCTTCCGATTTACTAATATCAAAGAAGAATTAGTAACTGAATTCAGAACTTAAAGACAGGATGACAAATAATTTTGAAACATCTTAAGGGTCCCCATATTAATTATAAAATTCCCCCCCCCCGCCCCCCCCCCCCACCCAAAAAAGATAAAAAAAAAAATAAATAAGGTCAACAAAATTCAAAGTCCTTGTAGAGACTCGGGACCTGTTTCGCTAGGAAGCTTATAATTAAATTTATTTACATCATATAGTCCTCTATCATTACCAATTACACGATATACAAGCCTTTTAACGCCTTTTTACCCGCCCTCCTCTTTCACTGTATGAAATGGTGAAAAAATGCCTTATTTAGGACTCCAACACTTGTTTTTGTTTTAAAAAAGTGACTACTTTTCCGGATTTGTTCCCTATCCAAAAGATACATCGGGAGATTTCCATAAGGGGTATGTGCCTCTTCTGTTTGGGGCTTTGAAGGGGAGCGGCAGTCACCCTCATCGCTAAGAAAATTTTGGACTTGTGAGAAGCTACAAATGACCCCAGATCGATTATAAAGTAACGTGTAACCAACGCTGAAAAGCCGTTGACTCTTTCTCAATCCATTGAGAAGTTGCAGCACTTTAAAATCAATCTTGATGGAAAAAAACCCAATGCAAAATAGTGATTTTCGGCAATTTTGAGATATCCCCTCGTTGCCATGGTAACAGGAAATTAAGAATGATCACGTTGTTACAAAGTCAATGGTCCAGTCAACATTTGTGTCAAGTTTGATTACTATTGAAGCATAATTTATAGTTTTATTGCAATTTGAACTTGTAACGGGAGACTCTTCAATGAAAACAAAAACAGCCATTTTTCACAATATGCTCATGAAGTAATGGGTTAACTGTTAAATCTGCTGATTCATTATGGTTTGGCGCGTCTCTTCAAATCGTGAACCGAATCAATCAATAAATTTCAATTTCAAAATCATTCTAAACAAAAAGCAAATTTAAAGCATAACGAAATACCAATGTTTTGTAGTAGGCTTAACGATACTAAATTAACATTTTTTCTTGTGATAAAACTAGTTCCTGCTTAATTCTTATAAATTTTACAGATGAATGTCAAAAAGCTATAGGATGGTTGCAACCTATAATTACAAAGCTTATTTTTAATGAACATGCGCAGTAAATACAGAAAATGTACAACATAGTATTTAAATTGTTTAGAAAGCCGATCAAATTTGAGAAATTTATTTGCATTTCTTAAATTCAATACAACTTCTTAATCACCATAAGTATACTACTTGCCAAAAAGCAACAGAAGCAACAAAAATGGCTCGGGTAAAGTATCTTTTTGGAAACCTAACAGGACACCAAAATAATAAAATTGTGAGAAATAGAAATAAAAGCAGTTCTTGGGCATAATTGGCTTTTAAATATGCATTCACTTTTTATTTTACTGTATTAAATAATTTTTATTAAAATGTTGCAATTTTTCTAAATGATCAACGTTTACTTATTATTATATAAGACCGCTCAGGTTGTGGTGTACATACAGGCGCGTCTCAGTTTATAACATTAGAAACACTTTTACGATAAAAGGTTAGCTTAAATGTATGTTTTAAATTCATTTTAAAAACAGAAACTGACATAGGAAGCAGTTGTTTGGGATAAGCAATTAATGTTTAGAATTTTTTTAAGCTGTTTTTGTTTCGTTTTAGCCGATTTGGATATTTATTGGTCTCTTTGAGAGAGGACATGTCAATGCTTGTTTTTGAAAAGTATAATTAACATTGTGCATTTTGAAGGTAATAACAGTGAATATGTATTCGAACTATTAATTTCTGATAATATTATGTATAATATAATCTTAAAATAATAGTATCACATATGGATATGATTTCATTATAAATAAACATTTCAGATCTTAACAAATTTACAAAGAAACGACGAAGACATGGCTACCAATAAACCTATACAAACAAGCACTTCTACAAAAACCACAGATGGAAGTGACTCCAGAAAGAAGTAAGTTTAACGTTTGTAGTTTGTTTTTTTTTTATTTCTTTTGAGCAGCAAAATAGGGTAATTTTGACAGTACGATGGTGTCAATACGATAGTACGCTGGAGTGTCACCGTCGCACTGTCGTGCTGTACCATCATACTGTCGTATTGACACCATTGTACTATTGCGCTTCGGGTATCGTTACATAGTTACTGTAGTGTTAAACTTCGCGCTTTTCGTTTTTAGAGAAAGCACGCTGGCCCTTACGAAACACCGTTATTTAATCTTAGTTCAAAGTATCTGAAATACTGAAACAGTTAAATTGCACTAATCGGCATTATGATTTTAAAGAATTGTACAGAATTTTCATAAAAAGCGATATAAAAAGTAATGTTAACATTAACTTTTGTTTTGTCTTTTTTATAAAACAAATATGTGGTTGATAGACACTATTCATGTAATGTAAAAACCTTTCATGAAGTAAAAATAGCCTTAATTTATCGAAAATTGTCAGTCAGTTGAATAGCACAGTAGTTTATTTTTGTATATTGATTTAAAATTTATTTATCGATCTCCTCTTGGTGCATGTACAATTTATATAAACTTAAGAAAACAAGTCATGATTTATTATATTAAGATAAAAGTCCTTATATAATATTGTATGAAGTAAATTAAATAAAAAAAACAAAAACAATGTAAACACATGCTTAAGCAACGATGTTAACAATTTATAACAAAGACGTATATATTGAAGACATCGAATACAAAATCATTGCAAGTTTTATAAAGTTCAATCATTTTTTATGTTACCTGTTGTTTTTTTTTGCACTTCTTAAATTGAAATTACAGAAACGTATCCCCCAATACGCAGTCGGGGATGAATTGAACAAAATATCCATAAAATTCAATTCTAACATTGATAAGATGTTTGAAAAGTTGTTTAGCCGATGGTGATTCAAATTTAATAAATAACATTGTACATTTGCATTAACAATAACACACCTTTTGAAGAAAGGAAATAAGCTTTTACAATAAATAAATAGATTGAATCGTTCATTAAGAATATTACAAACAGAAGCAAATGGAATTGGTCTTATAATTGTTTATTTCATTAATCTGTGTGAGCTTCCATTTTACGAAATATTTATAACTTATTTCATAACATTGCAAGAATAATTTTTTTAAAGAAATGTTTCCATAGGACATGGATACCCAACACTCCACTGTGAACTGACGTACAGTAGGAAAGTATTACAGAAGCACAGACAAAGAAAATTCTAAATACCACCCCAAACACTAAGATTCTTGTGCGAAAAAACAAAATCCAATTTCCCAATGTTGACATCCTGATGACACCTAAGATGAACAATTACATATGTTTACCAGCAGTCTTGTAAACTTTCATAAGTGACGCAAGACACAAGTTGAATTGCAAATCTGTAACTAGGTCAAGGGCAATAACAAATACTGAATAAATGCACAAGCAAACAATCGAGTATGTTAAGAGGTACACGTGACACAGCCTTATTGTAACAGATTTACTAATGTAAAGGCAATTACTCTATAAATATGTATCAATATACAAACAAACCCCAAGGTGAACGACTACACATGCTGACCAACATTTCTGTAAAATTTAATGACTCCAGGTCAAATATATTTTGGGTTGTAAGTTGTAAATGGCAAATTTCTTACAATGTAAGGTTAAATACTCTACAAATACTAAAGGTATGCACAATCAAGACCACTGGTTCTCAACTTAATATAATGATGAACATTTCTGTACATTTTGTCTCTAACTGAAGCATTTTAGAGGTACATTTGAGACAACGTGAGAACGTACTCACGAACGACGTTTACTGAGAAGTTGATTTTAATTATTAAGGCAATACTAACTTAATGGTGTAGATTATTTAACTTATTGTTATTCTAAAACATTTATATATTGTGTTTGTTTTACCATAATAAAGATCTTTTCCCATTTATACATTTATATTTCCTTGATTGTATCTCGTGATTCATATTGTTAATGAAGTGTCAAGCTCGGTATGACCATCGCAATGCAATACCACGAGTATTCAAATAGGCTAAAACAGAACTATTTTTTAACATTTCTATACATATTTCATAAATGTTGAGTGGAAACAATAATTTCACTTATGTGGATTGTTAGATGAAAGTTACATTTTGTTTCTTACCAATATGAATGGGAAATCATATTTCATAGGATGATATTGTAGATTATTTAAAAATTCCTTTTTCCTGAAAAAGGGCATTTCTAACATCCAAAATTAAAATCCAGAAAAGTGGCAATAACACGATTTCCGTACGGTAAAATTTGATACACTTTTGTTTACAAGTGTCCTTTAAAGTATTTATCTGACCTATGTTGTCAATTTGTCAGTTCCTAATAGTGCCCGTTAGGATGGTCATTCCTTAAGAGAATCAAATAAACCCACGTTGAATACAATATACATTCAATCCAACTTGTTAAGTTATCAGTCGTTTTTTTCCAAACGTATATATCTTTTGACATATTTTAGGCGTACAGTTTTATGCAAGTTTAAAAATGTTGGTTTCATATGATAAAATAAGTGATGCTTATTAAATATTATATCACTGATATAATATTATATGCTGATGATATTGTGATTTTTGCAAACAATAGTTTAGAGTTACAAAACAATCTTGATTTGTTGTTGGATTATTGTCAGAAATGGAAATTAGTGGTCAATGCAGCAAAAACAAAAATTATGATTTTTAGAAAAGGTGGTAGAATTTCAGATGACTTAAGATTTTATTACGATGGAAATGTTATAGAAATTGTTAAATCATTTGTATACCTTGGTTTAGTCTTTACAGTAGGCGGTTCTTTTGCTGAAACACAAAATACACTTTCTGGAGAAGCTTTAAAAGCAATTTTTAAAATGAATAAATATCTATATAAATTTACAGATATCTCCGTTAGACATAGAATAGAATTGTTCGATAACCTAATTTTGCCAATTCTTAACTATGGTGGTGAAGTTTGGGGCTTTAATAAAAGATTATCAATTGAAAGATTACATATGCAATTTTGCAAACGTCTATTGAATGTTAAGAAAAGTACACAAAATGACTTTATCTATGGAGAGTTAGGTAGGATGCCACTACAGAATTTTAGATATTATAATATAATTAGATACTGGGTGCAGTTATTCTATTCAAACGAGAATAGATATTGTAGAAAGGTATATGATATGTTATATAATGATGTTATTATAAATCCAACTAAACAAAGTTGGTGTTCACTTACGAGAAACGTATTATGTACTCTTGGTTTTCATGATACATGGTTGTTTCAAACATTTCTTTTAAATGTTAAGCAACGTATAGAATATCAATATTTGCAAAATTGGTCTGGCAGGTTAAATGATTCAAGCAGAGGCTCATTATATAAATATATTGCTCATCATGGTTTTCAGTAGTACTTAGATATTGTTGTTATTAATAAATATCGTTTAAATTTGTCACGTTTACGCCTATCTTCGCACAGATTATGTACAGAGACTGGTCGGTGGACCAGGCCTACGAGCACACCAGTTAATGAAAGGAAATGTAATAAATGCAATATACTTGAAGACGAGTACCATTTTGTCTTAGACTGTTCTTTGTATCATGATTTGAGAAAACAATTCATCCCAAAATATTACTGGAAGCGACCAAATATGGAAAAATTTATAGAATTGTTAATGAACGATAAAAAGCAAATCCTTCAGAATTTATCATTGTATATTGAAAAGGCTTTTACTTTGAGAAAAACTGACAGGTGTTATATGGTAATTAATGCTTTGAATGCTAAAATTACTTCACTGTAATAAGAAATGCAGTATTTAGTGTGTATGCTTTCATGTTATTATCGATTTGATATGTTATATTTTTATATAAGTAATAATGTAGGGTATGACGTGTTTGAATAATTATACCCTATTATGTAAACCTCACTTTCTTTACATGAGATAATAATTGTTAAATAAAATGATACCTTGTGTTGAAGTTTCACAACTTTCGTTTCGGGTGAAACTTCAAATTAAGGGTGTAGTCACATATTATACGCATTTTATGTGGTCATCATTATTATGCTTTTAAGTTCAATTCAAATCAAAGTTTTACCACTTTCGTTTTCGTTATTTGTCGGTAAAGCTGAAATACTCATACAGTTCGACAGCATTAAAAAAATTATATATATAACAGCAAATGCAATTATTATACCAAAACAATATTAAAAATGTGTAATTAGTTAGTCTCTATTCTTAAGCATGATACGGTTTTTATTCAGAATCAGAATTGTATGGGTTTTTGAGGCAAAATAGTTATACGTGTATTAATGATTACAACAATATATGAGTAGATAATATATGACACAAAATTAGAAAGTCTCACTAATCGAACATTTGATAAATTATATTATAAAAACGCCTCAGTGCATGGGAGATAACACAAATTAATGTGTATTTGCGTTTCATGTATAGTTATGTCCTCTTTCTATTGAAATTTATGAACATATATATAATATATATATATATATATATATATATATATATATATATATATATATGTGTGTGTGTGTGTTTATAAGAGACTAAAATGATTGTGTACATATACTAGATACATGTATAGGTATGTTCAGATATTATGCATGTATATTTTGTAATATTATATATTGTTCAAAATTTATTTGTAATATATATTACCACATGGGTTTATGACCTTCTGGTTTGATTGAATAAAATCATGAAATCTTGTAAATTCGGAACGTGTCAGCCGATATACCCGGTATTGTAATTCCTATATATTGTCTGTATGTTTTGCCCTAAAGTGACTAAGTTAGTTGCGCAGGAGAGGTATGGTGATAAGAATGGCGAAATCAGTTAGTAATGGCACATAACATGTAGATAACTACTTGAATCTTGAATCACTTTACCTTTTACCTTTCAGTTTCTGAAACAAAATCTGAAATTTTCCTGAAATAGATTGGTTTATCTGGAGGCATGCAGCTTTTATTCATCGAATATTCATATTGCATTTTCTTTCTATAAGTCACATGACGACATTGTGCATTATTAATTATATTTTACTAATTCACCTGTCATCGTCTTTCGTTTATTGAAAATAAACTTAGGCAGCTCTTCAGAAATACTGTTTAAAGTTTAGATGCAACAGTTGTAAACTGCACAATAAATTCAATATTTCTTGTATATAGGAAATGTTTTACATTCACGGTGAATAATCAGCTGCGCGAACCATTTTTCAACAACAGCGTTACCATGGAAATTGAAAATGAGAAGAGTCCCCTGATTGAGTATATGGAAAAGGCAGTAAATGAACAGAATGGACTTATGACTAAGTATATTTCAATTTATCTATTAAATTATAGAGTATTAAGTGGTGAGAGCACATAATCATAGCTTAACAGTTAAAACTGTACTACAATAGCAGCATAATATTTTGTTCCAGAACATTTAAAAATATGTTTTCGTACAATATGCATGTTTGTTAAATAACAGACTTTCTTTTTTACAATTGTGTTGAGAATTGACTATAAGACTACGGAAACTATATAATTTTACTGTAACAGGTTATAAAATTGTATTTCAATATTTCAGTAGAACTGGTTGTGTGCTTTTCAAATCTTCCTATATGTTTTTGTTAATGAAAAAAAACCTGTTCTTTTCAACTGATAAAAAGATCTATAATATGCAATTATGCTGGATATGAAACCACATAACAATAATATAATGTTTGTGAAGTCAACGACCTTATCCACTTGGCCAAAGACACCCATAAATGAAAAGCTACAATCCTGTAATAATCCCGCAGTCTGATAAGGGTTAATACTTCCAGTAACTCAGTGTGTGACAACGAAATCTCTGAAAATTTCAATGAACTATTTCAGATTCACAGCTTGAGAAATCAAAGTCTCTAATTCGGCAGGTGAAAAGTTACGCAATCAGTTATTGTGCTCCAGTCAACGGCACTTAATATCTTAATTTTCAGCTTTTCCCCCTATTTATCAATACTTTTTACGTCTACCTATTCCTATCATTAATTGTCCATAAACGTTTACTTGAAATGCTTGATGCTTGATTAGCTATTGCAGTTTCAGCAAAGTAAACGTATACTGATTTGACAATAATGTAAATGAAAACCGGGAGTACTGGAAAAAATTTTACCATTGGACTATTTGTATTATCTCATGACCTTTTACAAGTGAATAATAATACGCAAATAACATCTTTTAGATTTACAGTGACATACTTCTCTGGTAAGGGATATTTTGTTGACGCAATCAATGAGGCAAGAGCAACATATTCGGTTGATAAATCATTCTGGCAGATAAGATCTGAGTTAGTTCCAACAAAACAGGGTAATGTTTATTTTTTATCCTTTACTTGATTTATAATTTATTTATTTTCTCAGAGGTAATCTGTATGGAATAAAACATGTGGAACAAAAATAACTTTAATTATATAAGTCAAGTCTCTGCTTTCATAGCAAAATTTGTCGTACACATAACAACCTGATTATCTACAAGACTAGTTTATTGTGATTTCAGTCACATTAAACCGAATGATTGCTAATATTTTACTTTTAGATTTATTTTGAACAATTTTATTAAAATGTCTTGAGGCATGCTGCTCTAATATATAGTTTTCATAATCTCATATGTAAATAACAGAACCAGATTTGAAATATGTTCGAATTAAATGTTTCGTTCCGGCGCAAAAACTGTGCATTAAAATGTTTGAAGAGGGATTAATAGAGTATTACCTCAAAGAATTAAACGAAAATTAAAATGTTATTGCGTATCTGTATATTTGAACATAGTAAGACATGGACGTTGCTTCAAATGTGCATTTATTCATAGATGAGTTAATAGAGTTAACATATTGCTATAAAAAGCGCTACACAGAAACTATTAAAACATTTCATATGAAATACATATTGTAACTATATGATATGAGTGTTACATTGCTTTCGTTTCAGGTATAAGTTCTTTCATACCAGAAAACGGAACAGAGGTTGTGTTGGACCTCATAACCGGCAGTTGTGATGAAAAGTAAAAATAATTGTATTGTGTGCTAACATATTGTATTGTGTATAAAATTGTATTGAAATGTGTACAGTATCGTATTTATATTGTATTGAATTGTGTATAATATCGTATTCATATGGTATTAAGATGTGTATTGTATCGTATTTATTTTGTATTGAATTGTGAACTATATTGTATTTAATATGGTATTGAATTGTGTAATTATATCGTATTTATATGGTACTTGTACTGAATTGTGTATTATATTGTATTTATATTGTATTGAATTGTGTATAATATGGTATTCATATGGTATTAAGATGTGTATTGTATCGTATTTATATTGTATTGAATTGTGAACTATATCGTATTTATATGGTATTGAATTGTGTATTATATCGTATTTATATAGTACTTGTACTGAATTGTGTCTTATATCGTATTTATATTGTATTGAATTGTGTATAATATCGTATTCATATGGTATTAAGATGTGTATTGTATCGTATTTATATTGTATTGAATTGTGAACTATATTGTATTCATATGGTATTGAATTTTATTATTTTTGAGTTTTATTTAATAATATTCATTTAATTAAAAAAAAGTAAAAACCACCAAGTTCATAAAACACATGTTTTATAGACTATATCGTTTATAACAAAATAATCTAACAACTGTATTGTAATAAATGGTTATCAGACCCCACTTGAGTTTAAATCTCATCAAGTTATATAAAATAGCCTTCACGGCAAGCTTGATCTTTAAAAAGTGTTATAACAAGAACAAAACTTTTATATACAATTTAAAAAATGAATATGCCCACTAAATTTTGATAGAGTACTATATATGCCAAAACAAGATTAATGTATACAGAGTAACAATGATACAATTATATGGCATAATAGTCCTTTCTATCTTAAACTGAAACGTAAACGTAAACAGAAACATACTTCGTAATAGCAGTTACTGTAAATTTTCGGGGTTTTCTCAAACGTAGTAAAGCTTGTATTAATTACTCAACAAAATCACAAGGTTTCGTATTTTCTAAACTCACATTCGCCTTAAAAGAGTTGCAGCAATTTTCTTCGTCACACCGAAGAAGCACATATATTAACGACTCGGGGAAGTAGAACTCTAGAATGGCGCTAAATTGAACTAATCGACCTGTATTTCTTGATCTCCCTTATAGCATGTTCAACTAAAACTCTATATTTCTGAATAAACCTGTTAATCTCTCTGTATTTTCTTTTCAAACATTACGTCTGTTAATTTGCTGTGATGTATAATGGGTCATAAGGGGATGTCGATTAGGATAAATTTTATCTCCTAGAAGAACACATTCCCCTGGAAATGGAAGTCTGTCGCTGCCAATGTCTGGCATAAGATTAAACTACTGAACATCATTCAGATGACCGGGAAATCCTGACGTCACCATCTGAATCCACAATAACTTGCGAATTGATAGCGTGGAAGTGACGGTATCAAGAATAGAATTGTTCTTGTGGCTCATTCATTGGTCGCAATATTTCGTGTGATGTTCCATCTATTGCAACAACTGTGTTGAGACTAAGTTATATCAAGTGATATGAAGATACAGTATGTTTTCATTTTTACATACTGATATCAGAAATGATTCAATATAATACAAATTATATTTCTGTTAACTCCTCAACATATCAGGTAAAAAAACAATGTCCTTTGTGTGTCACTTCTTTACACCCCACCATTATGATAGAGCAAAATGCAAACTTCATTTCAAACAGTTGAAAAGAGCACAACTGCAAATTTGCAAGATTCGTCTGTCTGGTTTCCATATACAGCAAAAATGCATGCACAAATCTTGAAAAACTACGGTTTTTTTTTTGTTTAAGGTGCATTGCAACGTCGACGGAAAGTTTCTTTTTCAAAGGAAGAAACCTTATTAATTCTAAGGGCATATGAGCTTCACCCATGTAGCTGGACCAACGTTATAACTGATATCAAGGCTGTCTAATAACCATCAGTTGCAGTACAGAACGGATACATTAAAACAACTGAAAGAAAGAGTATCAAATAAGTTCGGTCGACTTTTTCACAGCAATATTGATATCATTGAGGATACTGACATAAGGTAAGAAGAACCGCGTTCTAGTATCTAAGCTAAGAAATATTTTCTGTAATAAAGATCAATTATTTTATAAACAAAATTTCAAAATTAAGGATTTTACAAGACAACATTTACGTTAAAGCGGACATGTGTTGACCGATGATTTATATAAGCGGCCGTGTAATAAGTTTATATATATAATACTCTTTTTTGAAGCGAAACTGAATTGACAAAAACAAAAACAAACAACAACTGCACATTGTCTTGTCGACAAAATCTAGCTGTTGATGATAGACACTACTTTTGTATAAAGTGTAATATTTTCATTATTAAACTTGATGTATATATGTACAGGACACATGTGCAAGGTATACGGGACTTGTTTCCCCACCAAGTGAAGTTAACACAAGGCAATAGAAAGGTTGCTCCTACTTCAACAAATCAGTGAGTCCGACGATGATGATGTTGGACAAAGCAGCTCCACAGCCTGCCGGCGGTCAACATCAGCAAAACTTGCGAGTTGACAACAATAACAAGAAGTCAACACCCAGTGCCGGCTGTTTCAAATGTCGCAGCCGGTCAACGTAATCGGCCGGTTCATCGCAGGTGGAATAGGCGCTCCCTTGCAGATCAAATTAGAGAGAATCAGGCTCTCTACAGAAGATTCCTGACACAAAAGTTCCAAAAAAAACTCCGTGAACTTGACGTAAGCAGTGACAGCAGTGATGACATTTACGTTTAGTCCCTTTTTTAAACCACGTACTCACACATAACTTTAAAAATGGTCATCTGGGTTATCTTTGTTGAAAAATTAACATGACAATAAAGTATATGAATTTAGAAACTTGTCTTGTTTTTAAGTCTATATAAACATTTTGGTTATATTATATCTATTACTGTGTTGGTGGTTTATAGAAATAATATAGCAAACATAATCATGTACAAAAAAACGTTGTCAGTTTAAGCGTATTGATCTTTATAATTATCTTATTTTCCACATATATGTTTTGAGAAAATCCCAAATTTTATTCAGTATTACGGAGTCCGTTTACGAAGTCCGTTTAAGATAGAAAGGTCTAATAGGCTAAACATGGATTCATTTTACTATATACTGTGTACGAACTATTATTTCGTTATACTTTATTTCTTTTAACTATATGCTGTGTAAGAAATTTTAGATATTAAAATATAGAAATTACTGTGTAAGTAACGCAGTAAAGATATGGCGAAAAAAAACGACAAAAGCAATTCTCAATTTTATCAACGTTTTCGAAATTCATTACTCTTAACATGTTTCTGCAAACAATGTGACAATTTAACATTTGAAAGATTAAGTTTGCTGTGAAAGCAAGGCTTTCTTGTATTTGATTTTAACTCTTAGTGTGTTTGATAATTGAGTGATTAATTACAAAGCATTTGAACGAAAACCCGTGCATACTATAATACATGAAGAATAAATATCTTTTTTTTATTCTAACACGTCGAGAAAAAATGTTTTTGGACTTTGGTAGTGAAATTTTGTTTACGCCTTAGAGTTTCCAATAGAAACGTTCTTTTAAGGCTGTTCAAGTCAGTTGAAAAAACAGTCGTTAAGTCTACCGTTTGTAGAAACATTTTGAGAATACTGAATTTTGAAAGCGTTGGTGTTTGTGTGTTTATTTTATTTCACTTATTTTAAGCAAACTACAGAGTCTTTAAAGTGAAATAAATGTAAAATTTTACTGTTTGCGACATTGAAATAGCGTTCTTGTTTCGATTTCGTTCGCAAGCACTGTTTGGCGTTTCGTTTTGACGTCACGTAAACAACATATTAAAACGTCTGTACAGCGTTAATTACTGATTTAAAGATATTGGTGCTCGGATTTATTTTCTTAGTTAGACCATTTTTCTGCCTTTCTAGATAGTTTTCAGAACAAAATTCAACTAAATGTGTTTTTTTTATTTATCAGATTTTTCAGGTGGAAAAGGTATCAATATATACACTCTGAAAATAATTTGTTTTTATTTGTGTACATAGGAAACGTTTTACATTCACCGTGAAGAATCAGCTGCGCGCACCATTTTTCAACAACAGCGTGACAATGGAAATCGAAGATGAGAACACTCCCCTGATTAGGTACATGGAAAAGGCAGTTGCTGAACAGAATGGACTTATGGAAAAGTATTTTTCTTTTTATCTATTGTTGAAGAGTATTAAGCTATATATCTGCAGCAAAACATTCTTTTTTATTTTGAAAAAAAAAAAAAAAAAAAAAAACAACAACAACAACAAACACTTCGAAACTGCCTCAAAAAAATGTTATATTACTTTAAAAGTGAATGGTGCAAGCAAAAATCCCCACTGAACGGCTACAACACTACTTAAGCAGCAGCACAATTATTTTTGTTTCAGCGCATTTTAGTCGGTTTTTGTACAATATGCATTTTTGTTAAATAACAGACATTTTATTTTACAAATAATTTCCGAATTTCATATTACTGTTTATAAATCTATGTAAAATATTTCATTAGATATAGCTTTATACTTTTCAAATAGCCCATCTCTTTATTAAATAATAAAAGCTTTTCTTTTTGATTGATAAAGGATCTATTTATACACGTATATTTTGAAATTACTCTAATACAAAACTTTACAAGAAAAGCATTGATACAAAGCATCAAAGGGCGTCCAAGCAATACATGACCGTTTTGTAAACAAAATCTGCTTCAATAAATAGATATTCGGTCCTTTTCACAATGTTAAGGTTATCATTCTATTTATAGGTACAGTAATAACTTACATAATAACCCACTGTGTACTACACAATGATTAATAAACAAACGAAAAGCGATTAATTGACGGATAAGATAATTTCATTTGAATATGTTTGCATTGCGAAATTCTCCAGTTCGCTATTCATTGAATATATCGCGGCATTTGAATTCATGATAATCAAACACCCTAATACCAATCGGAAAGATCGGCTTTTATGACCGACGAAAAGGTCCGAGAAGTTGCAATTGCCCTTTCACAAAATCTGATTTCATTCCATAAAGGGCCTCGCGCTGAGGCGCAGACGCCAATAATAAAATATACTCTAAATGGATAGCTATAGTCATGTAATAATTCCGTGAAGTCTAATAAGGCCCTATTCTTCTAGTAACTTAGTTTGTGATAGCGAAATACCTGAATTTAAATAAACAATTTGAGATTTACAGCTTTGCAAATCAAATTCTTAAATTAAGCAGGATAAAAAGTTTACGCAAACATTTATTGTGGTCTTGTCTACGGAACTTAACTCCCTAAATGTTCAGCTATTTTTTCATTTCTTTCATCTATATTTTGTTTACGTGTATCATTTCAACCACCTAATGATCCATAAACGTTTACTTATGCAAACTTAAACATGTTAATTTGACAATATTGTAAATAAAAAGGAAGCACTTGAAAGATTTTTGCCTTTTAACTATCTATTTTATCTCATGACCTTTTACAAGCAAGTAATGAAACTAGAATAATAACAGACAAATGATATATTTTAGATTTACGACATACGTCTCTGATTTTGAACAGAAAATCGAAGCGATAAATGATGCTATAGCAACACCTTTAGTTGATAATTCATCCTGGAAGATGAGAACTCAGTTAGGACCAGTGCAAACGGGTAAGGTTCTGCATTTCATTTTTGTGTTGTACATGCTTTATAGTTTATTTAATTATTTTCCCAGAGGTAACGTTTGAATTTTAATTACTTATTCACGTCAAGGTTCTACTAAAATCGCTAAATTTGTCGTGCACAAAACAACCTGATTTTTTATCCAGATTTCAATCATGTGACATAAATAATGAACATCAAGTCTAAATTTTCCTGAAAGATTGCTTTGTAAGGAGGCATGCCCCCAGACGAACCAAAATTAATTAGCTAATTGATAAGAACTAAATATGTAACTTATTTCAATTTAAAATTAAAAGTTTAAAATGCTACATGCAATGTATGACTCATTTTGCAGTACGTCTTATATTCTCATATTATCATGACATAGTTAAGTCTTCTGGAAACATTTTGACTTTTATTTGGTAAATTGCATGGATTGAAAGTGAAGTTTGCAATTTGTAGATTACTTGTTCTTCACTTGAAAATAGTTAACATTCGACTACATGTTCAACATTCTTTTAAATTAGCATGAATCTTGAGGCATTAAGATCCAAAATCTTATGTTGAAATATGTTCAAATGAACTGCTTTCCGGTGCAAAACCGGAAATTAAAATGTTTGAAGAGGAGTAAATAGCATTTTACACTTAAAATTAAACAAAAATTAAAAATTTAAAATATTATAGCAAATATCCTTAACATATATTTTAACATAGTAAGATATGCAGTTGTTTCAAACTTGCATTTGCTAATAAATAAGTTGTTAACAATACACACATTGATATCAAATTACGCTTTACAAACCTAAATTAATCGATTTCATCTATATGTGCATTATGCTGTTGATATAGGTGTTTCATTGTTATTCGTTCCAGGTATAAGTTCTTTCAAACCAGAAGACGGGATGAATGTTATCCTGGAACTCGATGATAACTGAGATAAATTCTGCTATGTTATTATGTATTGCAATGTATTGCATTGCACAACACATACTGCATTGTTGTTTATCGTTTTTGTATTGTATTGTGTGTTATATTGTATTGTTTTGCATTTACTTTTGTAATGAAATTATTGATAATCAGACCGAACTAAGAAATCATATCGACTTAATCAAAGAAACCCACGATCCCTTTGCCTTCACGGCAAACTTAATTACAGTATTAGAAATGAATTGAATTGCAACTATAAACCGGACATTTTAACAAGAAAAACATCTTTTAATTCTTAAATAATTTACAATAGGACAAGGCACAGTTAAATTTAGATAAAATACTACGAATGTTCTAACAAGTTTATATTATGGAGTTTCACAATTACATACATGTATATGATATAAACTGCTATACATGGATTGATAAAGTCTTCTGTGTACAAATGCTATATTCTGTATGTAAAAATACTTTATACAGTGTATCAGTTTTGTAAAGGCATTTCTTGAGACGACCTATTGATACGTGTGTAATAAGAAGTATAAGGCACATTCAAATTCATTACTTTTTTAGTGTTTCATTTTAAGTGTCACTAAAACGCCTAATAACTTGAAATTGGAAAACTGAAACAGTATCAATAGAAGAAAATTTGCATGTGATGATAAAAAAACTCCTCAAAATTTAATTAAAAATTAGTGCAATTTTCAGCCCACTTTTATTCAAAATCGTTAAAAAGCTATTTTTGTTTGTGTTATTTTGGACAATAAAAATGATTATTCTGGGAAAAAATTTGTACGCAAATTTGTACGGGGTATTTATTTTCAGTCCCGTCACGTCAAAAAACTCAATTGAGTTCTCGAAAGACAAGGTATTTATTGTTTGTGCTGTAACACTCTTTGTCAAGTATAGATATATATTCAGTAATAGTTGAAACTGTACTTGTTTGTATATCTCTTATGACTTTTGATGATAGTGAATGCTTTTAAACAAAACACGTACATGTATATACCTCCTTAAGCATTTACAATACATTTTGAATGACATTTATAGAAATGTCCATTGGCTTTTTTTTAATTGTAAATATATATAATTGAACAAAAATTGAAAAAGTCAAGTTATATTTATTTTTACCTGTACGTTGCCCAAACAAACACGCTAGGCACGATGTCACATTAAAAGACACATACTTTTATATTTGACAACTTTTCAAACGTTGCATGATTCGTTCATAAATCAGTATTTCTAGCGTTGAATAATAGTTTTTATTCTTTACATCTATATTTATGCCCGCTTCGAAGAAGAGTGTGCATATTACCTTGCTACATACCTTTCGGTCGGTCTGTCTGAACGGACCATCAACAGTTCCCGTTCATTTACTTCCCAGAGGTTAAACATAATGAAATGAAATTTGGTATACAAATTTTACATAAGAATATAAGATTAAGTTTTGTTTTGGGTACGATCGAGCAATTTTTGACAGAGTTATGGCTCATGGATTTAGAAAAACATATTTGCAGTTTCCGCTATTATTCTTAGCAGAGTATGCACAATATGAAATAAGATTTGGAATACAGATTTATCATAAACACATAAAGATAAAGTTCTGTTTTTGGGTACGATCAACAATTTCGACAGAGTTCTGCCCTTTGAATAAAAAAATCCAATTATTTGCCCGTTTTCTTTCACTTCTTCGCAGAGATTTCATATATTACTGTAACAATGAAATTTGGTATACACAATTATCATTAATATATCAGTCAAGTTTTGTTTTGGATACGATCGAGCAATGTTTGGCAGCTCTTTGCCGCTGGGACTTTGGAAAATTCCAAATTATTTGCCATTTCGATTCATTTTCTTTGAAATATTTCTGGGAAATTTTAATGTGGATGCCATAGGACCTAATGCTGCTCAGCTATCAGAACTTATGGGAAGATTTCACGTTACTTGTATAAATTATGTATGGATGCATGGATATTGTTTAGATATTTGGATGATGTAACTATATTATCATTAGACTTGCTAAACACATACCATGCCTGATATTCACATCCAACATATCACTACAGGGGTCATATAATTAAATGAAATAAAGTAAAAAGAATACAATGAAAAAATCAGGATGACAGATGACCCCTGTTGATTTCAAGTTCAAAAGGTAAATTTCATTTACATGTACACTACCCGTAATGTATACTGCCGTTGGAGGGGTGCATAAGTGTTTCACACAAACTTTTGTTGGATTATAGTGCAGTGCAAGAAAACAAAAGGCGACAGTCTAAACCTCGGATAGGATATGTTTGTTCATGTTGAAGAGAACAAATCCCTCAAGATTTATTTATCGTTCAATGATTCAATATATTGAATTAGATTAATAAGAATAATGCAACACGTTTTAAATTTAAAAAAATCACACATTTCACCGTTTTTATAGGTATACAGATATCAACATTGTACTTTTAATACTAAGCATGCTGGCGACAACTGAGTGTACCAATGCAACCAGTGCAAGCCAAGATAAACGACTCTGACCTGACAGTCTGCATTATTTTGAAACATTTCCTAAAGCGGATGAATGAGATTTTCAAGATTGAATGATGGACAGGTTTATTTAAGATATCATTAAAACGAATTATAACCAGATATATATACTTCTCATCGGAGAATGGTTTCAAATACCACAGCTGATGCCTCTTTTTTCGAAGCATTAACTTTATTATAACAATTTGTTTCCTATGATTCCTTTTTTCTTTCTACAAATGAAGGCTCACTGCTGAATCATTTAAAGCCTTATAAGTAGATTTCCTCCGGATGAATTGATTTGATCTATAGTAAAGCTAAGCATTGTTAGCATAGTCTTTAGTTTGTTTGTGCATGTTTTAATGCCTTTGGTGAACGAATGATGCTACCGCCCTTCCGATTAAAAGTCACTGAGAATAATATTGTTCATTTGCATGACTAAGAAGTAAACCCAGAAGCACATAAAGCGTGCCATTATATCCACGCCTTTGATATGTTGGTCATTACATTTACTATTTCCCGTCGATTAAGCTTATGCTTTATGAAGCTCTACATCTCCCTGTACGACAGTAAAATGTTCAATAGTTTCTACTTTGTTTTTATCATAAGACTTCTCAAGGACAAAATATCTAGTTTTTTGTTTATCAAATTTCATACTCTTTAATATACAGAAAGAGCAAACATTCATAAAAACGACAAGAAAACACATTTTTCTGCAGCACTGCGAATGAACCCATTGTTGATTTGTAGAACCTAATAAATGGCCACGGTCATCTATGGGTGCACTATGTCCATCAGTTATATATGTATGGTCCTTGTGATTGGGAGATGCATCCAATTGCATGTTGTTACTTTCAGAAATTGTTGACATAGAATAGACTGAATCAGGACTATCATGTATATATTATGGGTGCTCCGATATACCTAGAATCACAATATTATCCCTCATGGAACGACAACGCAGGTCTATAATGTCATTTTGTAGATCTTGATTTTTCTTCTTCAATGTTTTATTTTTGTCATTTGCTTTTTTAGCCCAACCTGTATAGTTTCTATTGCTTCATTGTTGTCTTTTGAGGAACAAAATATCGAGTATATTTAACAATCAGCATATTGTGGCTCAATTCTACTTTCTGTATTTCAATATTGACAGTGTTTATCAGTTGAATATTCTGGTATTTTTTTTGTTCTATTGTATTCAACATAGATACTATAGTTGCTTGTTGCGTTTCTATACGATCAGGTTTGGCAACCTTACTCAAAATAAAGTCAATTTTAGCATTCAACTCATCTGAAATAATCTTTGGAGGATAAATACATGTAGGTGTCAGAGAATCAGGCAAGCGAACAATAGGTTGTCTGTTATACTGGAATTGATTCGGAACATCTGTGTTTACTAAAAACACATCAGTTGTAATTTTTGATGTAGCTACAGTGCCAGACAAGCTTTCTGGTGCACAAATTTCATCATGACTAGTTTGTTGACTTTTCTTGGTAAAGCAATGGAGATTTTAGTGTGCTGGCATTTTTTACCACAACACCGGTCGCCATTTTTACCGACGTATCTTCAGTTTCGCTACCCGTATATCCATTTCGACACTTTTTCTTATTACTTTCGGACAAACGTAACGATTATTCGCCAAGACAAACATCTAAATGTTCTTTGAAATGACTAGAAATCACTAAAATTGTCACTTTTTAACCACGTTTTTCAACCAACCGCCATCTAACCGGTGAAACGTTAGCGTGTAATGTCAACTAGCAACTCCATTATTCGAGCACTTGTTTGCTTGCTCTTTATAAGTAAAGTTGTAATGATTATTTTTAATGTATATTTGATAGCTAACCAAAAAGACACAAAAAAACAATGATAATCAAGGTCAATAAAGAACATATTCGTGAGGTATTTATCCTCAAATTATTAAGGGGTTGTTCTCATAATTAGAATGAAATCGTAATAAAATTATCTATCTGATTTGATTTCGGTAATAAGGGAAGTAATCATGATATAATATACATATTCGTCTATAACATCATCATTTTTTATAATTATATATTTTTGCCTATTGTTGTGGTTCAGTTAGATTTATTTTATATGTACTAATAAAAAAAGATAAATTTAAATGTTTAATTTAACTTTTACAAGCCGATTTCGGTATTGTAACATATTTCGGTTCGTGACAAATCATAGAAGTAATCTTCATATTTAGATATTTGTTTCTAATCTAATAATTATAAATTATTTCTGATTTTTTTTCATGCAAACTAAGACTATTGTAATAAATTATGATAAAAAATATATATAAAACGCTCAATTGTGGTTTTATAAGTTCATTTTGGCAATGAAAAGTTGATTTCGGTTACTTTACCAAAATCAAGTTGATTTCGGTATCATAACGCACTGTCAAAATAATGAACCTCATACTAAGGTTTTATCAATATTTAAAGAACAACGTATGATTGCAGTTCCTACACGATGTCATATAACAGATTCACACGTCAAAATCGCCAACAATCTTTCTGAGCATTTATAAACAACATCATCACCAAACTTTCTAGCTAGACTTAAATGTAATAGAAGCTATACGGGATGAAATGAACGCCCTCATAAAAAGTTGTGGTGCAATGCCACAAACCATCGCCTTCAAATATGCAAAAATCGCCCAATAGTGGATAAATAAACTCCAATATTATGAAAAATATTGGTTCACATCCATACGACAACGTTGCCAGGTTTCAATCAACAGTTAGGACAGGCATACGATATTAGAATACTTTATAATGAAACATTTATTTTGTGACCTTTCCTTATAACGCAATATCACTTTTATTTGGCATGTTCATCAAATTTGTTTTTCTTATGAAACTTGATAATTGAAATACTATATATCATGTCTCTCAACTGTGTTTATTGAAAATTTCAGCAGTATCTTTCCAAAATTGGCACACATATGACACCATTTATATATGCACACCTATAAGATTTGTTAAGTGTACATGTACATAATCGATCCTGTATTTGCGCATGGTATCGTCATTATTGATTGTAGTTTAAAATATCGATAACGCCGAAAACTTTATGTCTAATGGATAAAAATACTTCATTATGTCATTGTTGTAGCATTGTTAGTATTGCGAAACAGAAGCAAAATCAATGCACATAGTTATCTAATACAGTAAGAAAAGAAAATAATGAGAAATATTTCACGGAAATAATAAAATATCATACATTATATAGGGTTTTATTAGGATTATTATTCAATGGTATTAAAATTTTGAATTAGCAACGATCACCACAGATAAAGTGAAATGGGTTTGAAAAAAGTGAACGCCGTTATTTTGGCAGTATTTTTGATGAGTCTTCAAACAGATGTGTACAGTGAAGAACAAATGTCAAGGTTCAGATTTATTTTTAATATCTCAGGGCTGGGAATTAAAACTGCGTCGTATCCTACAAAATGTGTACAAACGCCGCCATCTTGGAACAAAATTAGTATTTTTCGTTTATAACTCTTTTTGTTGGAAATGTTGTGCATGCAACATATATCGAATCAAGCGGAAAATAGTCGTATTTATACATATTCTTGTTTTCAGTCATTTCAAACAAAAAGAGTTATTATCGAAAACAGACATTTTTCGTTCCAAGATGGCGGCGTTTGTTTACATTTTGTAGGATACGACGCAGTTTTGATTACCAGCTCAGATTTTTGTAGGTATCAATAATTATTGCTATTTGATATAGATTGAAACAGAAACATGTATGTCAAAAGATAATATGGTTAAATGTATGTTTTCTTACTTTGAATTTACATTTTGTACTTCATATGATTTAATTATATAAATATCAATGTCAATCTATCTGAACTTTATATGACCATGATGGAAAATGGACCTTGATTTGTTTTATATTACTTTTGGGAGTTTGATAACTTATTCTGCTTACTGGATATCTAAGCATACACACATTTGGCGTCTCAAAATCGGAAAAAGTATTACAATATCAAATGATTTAAGGATTATCATTCACAACACAAAATATTCACCTTTGACTTTATACAGAAAATCGTTATGACATACTAAGTCTCGACCTTTTATACTCGAAAGAACTGTTTCTAAAAAAAATACACAATATAAATATAAATAAGTATGAACAAACAAAGTAAAACAAGCTACAATCATGTGGGTAAATGATTTGTTTTATTCAATATTTGTAAAGATATAAAACATACCAATACAGTCAAATGTGTCAATTACTTAAAGAATTTGTAAATTGTACGAACGATTAAAAAGCAAATGAAAAAAAAAAAAATCTTTTTACTGGATATCTTAGAGCTATTATAAAAACTGTATTTATTTGTTTTCAATTACAGACAAACATTGATAGAGGACTTGCTCAACCCCTCACATTACGACTCGAGTGTTCCACCAGGTAATTATACAAAGTTGTAGTGTAGTTTTTAAGAGGCTCGTTAAGAACAAAACAAAAGCAAATAGAAACACAATTAAAACAGATTGATATTGTCAGTAATATTTATGTGTCGACATACCATTTATGATAGCATCTATTAATGACATGTACTTCAAAACATGACATTTTTGCATTAACGCCTTTTCCTAGACCGTTTTAAATTTATACAATGCCGCATGCTATATTAAATTGAAAGGGATATACAATGTATTGGTATGAGCCCAGCTATTTTGTTTAAATATATCAAATCATACAACACATAGCCCGTTGTAGATAAAACCATTTAACCGACTAACAACTGTGTTATTTTAATTAAATATTTCGAGACAGTTAAATATTTTTTTTGTAAAAAATGTGAATATAAGTATTCTCGTTTCTCGCGAAAACGTAGGAGAAAAAAATATTCAATTCAATCTACTGACCTTTGATCATGAAACGTGAATCATGAAATTTACTAATATAATGAGGTCAATGTACATTGTTGAGTACAATATTGCTTCTATTGGTTTGCCCCTCGTCCAAAATAGGGTTGGTAGTTGAGTTCTCGTTTAAATGAATCTATTTTGTAGATAGCAATGTATTATGAAATCTTTATTTTACATCAATAAATTATAACTTCGAGTATAATTCAGATTTGATGACATCTAGATAAGATTGATTACATAATTATTTGATATAGAATTTTTTTATTGAAAAATGAAAACGAGGGTTATTTATGTTTAAAGTAAAAAACGAATTATAAAGAGCGATCACATTGTGTAAACTCTTGCGTTTATTGGTTTGTTTTTGTAAGCATTGGTGTGAAATACATTGTGTATCTTATATTGTATCTTATTTTATACTTATCTTTTTCGTATGAAACCTTAAAATGCTTGTATGAAATAATTTGGGCAAAGTTTGGGTACTATTGAAAAACTGTTGTATGTATTATTAAATTGGTGTAAACTATAAGTGAGGGGAAGAGCGATATAAATGTCAAAGATTGTATAAATGGAATGTTTTAATTATTTTTATTACCATATATGGAGACCATATATGGAGAAAGGTTTTAAAGATATTAGTAAAATGTACACATATTATATGTTGCTCATGTATGATATATTTATGTATATTAAATAGACTACAATATTTGAAAAATATAAATTACTCTGATATACTTAAGAACGTTTTTTTTCATACATGTCATAAAAATTTATATTATAAATGTATTGTTTTTGTTAAATTAAATACTTATACGCATTTGCACAGATAAAATCTTTAATCGTGTCACCCTTAATAATTTAAACAAAGGAATATTTGAAAAACTAAACCAAAATACGAGCAGTATACGTGTTTAAATCAATACTTGTAAAGGCTAGATCCCCTATGTTTTGTGATTGATATTGTTGATGTATGTATACCACACATGCAAACACTTGTAGATGTATATAATTATGCAAATAAAACCATTCATCATCGATGAACCATTCAGACATCGATGAATATGTAAAATGTGTACTCGTATATGTGTGCACATCATATTCAATCAATAAATTATATGCATTCATTTCTTATTGGAAACTTTTACTTAGAATTTATAGAAAATAAATTTCTAATCTACTTTCCTTTATTTACATGAACTGTTAGATTTGGTAATATCTTTTTAAATAATGCTTGGTGGAACTTACAATAATGACAAATCTTAATTTCAGCATCATGTTTATGAAATAAAACCATGAAAAAGTGTATTACAGGTTCTTTTAATATAACTATAAAATTAATGTGGTCATTTACGTATAAATAATGTACAATACACAAACAATTACATGACTAGTGAAGACAAATGAATTATATTTCTTGCTATTGAACTTTAAAGCACTATCAAAAGAAGAATTAAAAAAGAAAAGATACTGCCCAGTCCTTACTAGGTATTTGACGCTGACTAGGTATGTTATTCTTTACCGATTTACATGTGTTAGGACGTAAAATCAATACACATAAGAAAGTCATTCAATTTTTATAATAATCATATATCAAGTAGTGCAGGAACGTTTAATTAACGCAGAAATTTTGAAAAAAAAATATCGGGCGATTGGGGTGGGATAAGACCGATATTAAAATTTCATGCTTATCAAAATGATAAGAAAAACCCACCAAAGAAAATTTATTTGAATAATCGAAACTTATCTTTCAATACGGGAAAAAATACATTCATAAATTTCACCTTAAATGGTTTATCTAAATAACCCTTATGTAATACTATATAACCCCAGGGTAGGAGCATTTTTATCCTTTGTGCACGATTCATAATATTTGTTGTTTCTGCTAACATATACTAGATATGTGTGAAGTTGGCGGCCCAGCGGCCTGGCGGCGTGAAGTTGGCGTCCCAGTGGCCTGACGGCCTGGCGACGTTAAGTTGGCGGCCAGGCGGCCAAACATTTTAATGTTGTAGAAACGTTTTTTTAAACAATAAAACGACATTTAATGAAGTTTTAAAAGATAATTATTGTTATTTAAAGGATATATCAAAAGACAAAATCACTTCAGAGAATTTTTTTGTCATTTTATGAAGTTGGCGGCCAAGCGACTTGGCGGCCAAAAATTTAAATGTTGTAGAAACGTTATCTTAACAATATAACGGCATTTAATGAAGTTTTAAAGATAATTATTGTTATTTAAAGGATATATCAAAAGACAAAATCACTTCAGAGAACTTTTTTGTCATTTTTGTGAAGTTGGCGGCCAAGCGACCTGGCGGCCAAAAATTTAAATGTTGTAGAAACGTTATTTTAACAATTAAACGGCATTTAATGAAGTTTTAAAGATATTTATTGTTATTTAAAGGAAATATCAAAAGAAAAAATCACTTTCAGAGAACTTTTTTATTTTGTCATTTTTGTAGGTTGGAGGCCCAGCGGCCTGGTGGCCAAACATTTTAATGTTGTAGAAATGTTATCTTAACAATAAGACGGCATTTAATGAAGTTTAAAAGATAATAATTGTTATTTAAAGGATATTTCAAAAGAAAAATCACTTTCAGAGAACTTTTTATTTTGTCATTTTCGTGAAGTTGGCGCCTGGCGGCCAAATATTTTAATGACGTAGAAATGTTATTTTAACAATAAAATGGCATTTAATCAAGTTTTAAAGATAATTATTGTTATTTAAAGGATAAATCAAAAGAGAAAATCACTTTCAGATAACTTTTTTTTTGTCATTTTTGTGAAGTTGGCGGCCAAGCAGCCTGGCGGCCTGGTGGCCAAAAATTTTAATGTTGTAGAAATGTTATCTTAACAATAAAACGGCATTTAATGAAGTTTAAAATATTATTATTGTTATTTAAAGGATATATCAAAAGAAAAATCACTTTCAGAGAACTTTTTATTTTGTCATTTTCGTGAAGTTGGCTGCCTGGCGACCAAACATTTTAATGTTGTAGAAATGTTATTTTAACAAAAAAACGGCATTTAATCAAGTTTTAAAGATAATTATTGTTATTTATAGGATATATCAAAAGAAAAAATCACTTTCAGAGAACTTTTTTTTGTCATTTTTTGTGAAGTTGGCGGCCCAGCGGCCTGGTGGCCCAGAATTTTAATGTTATAGATATGTTATTTTAACAATAAAACAGCATTTAATGAAGTTTTAAAGCCAATTATTGTTATTTAAAGGATATATAAAGAGAAGTATGACTTTCAGAGAACTTTTTTATTTTGTCATTTTCCATAGGGAACGAGCCTTGGCGTTTTGATTTCCCTATCCTCTATCTAACCCAATGATTGATTATTTTTCTCTCTCATCTGGACACACAAGAAATCAGTGAAATTGCTTGCTACGCGCATGACAACGTTCCTAGTTTTGAATGAAAAGCGGGGGCTTAGGCGCCTGACTTTCTATGATTAAAAAGCATTATGTATGTCCGCAGAAATTCTACTGACCAAGTTTGTGTGTGATCCCTCATCAAAAAAGCAAGTTTATTTAGTCACGCAGTGGATAAGGGTGTAAAACAGTTATCAATTTGTATTTATCATCTTTTAACGATATAAATAAACAAAAACTACCAATTTGCCAACTGCCCACTTAACGCAGTAGGTAAGACTGCCAGTCAAATTTCTAGTTGAATATCAATGCAATGCAGGTTCGATTCGCAAAAAATATTTCTGTATGAAGAATATTTAAACGCACTACGATTACATAATATTTATGATTTGAGTATATGGATCAATATATAACATTATATTATTACTTTTCTGATAAATTAAAAATGCTTTCTCCTGATGTGTGGCATTTTCTCTAACTGTACACAAGTGCATATCAACCCGTGTCCAAAAAATATCTGATGCATTTGTAACTATTTGAAACAAAACCGGCCAAATAAAAAAAAGATACATAAGACAGCCAAATATAATAGTACTTGTATATATAACCATGATTCGGCCATGAATATAACACTGACACGGTCGCTCTGCCTACTGTGCTATCAAGGCACATAAAAATCTGACGTTTTACTTTATGTTTTTTCATAAGGCATCAGTTTGCCTTACCTTTTTTATGGAAAGCCATGGCTGTCTTATTTTATTATTTTTCAATTTATATCATTTGGATAATATATAATTTCGCTTCGACTATATATGAATTGAAAACATCTTCTAATTTAACCGGAATCCATTATGTTAATTCACAGCTACAATATATGAAACCATACCGTCAGTGTATGAAACAGAGTTAGCAATATATAAGTTGATTTTCTCGATATATGATTCCAGTTCTTCAATATACGGTACCAAAGTAGCCATGTATGAAATCAGATATCCTTATATGAAACCGAATTTTCAATATACTAATTCATTTTTATGCCCCTGCCATGTAATGGCCGGGGCATAAAGTGTTACCCTGTTCCGTCATTCCGTCCTTCCGTCATTCTGTCATTCCGTCATCATTAGTTTTCGTTCATTATCTTAAGAACGGTTGCACACATT